ACTAAAGCAGATCTCACTGTCTACTACAGTAGCTACGTCTCATTTGAATCTTTCAAATCATAGAGTCAACCGGTGAAACAAATAGAGCTTCAATAGCGTGGTAGAAGAAATGAGCTGGTTTTCCGATAGAAAATAAGGGTCCGCTTGATTTGTAGGAATTGGGGTCTGAAATTGGAATTTGAATCGGAATGGTCTATTCTGATTCTAACTATTTGGTTGGACAGAATTTGAATCCCATTTCTATTCTTGCTGGAATGCCATTCTCCCATTTGAGCCCCTCCCTTGGGAATGGATCCCATTCCTGCTGATTTTAATTCCCATTCTCATTTTTGTCTGAAGCAAACAGACTATGGGAATGGACCGTTCCGATTCTGATTCTGGAGGGTTTCCTTTTCGATTCCAATTCCGACTACAAACCAAATGGACGCTAAACGAGGAAATGATGATCACAGTATTCATCTACAGGATTTCAGCTTGGCATCATCATGTCTAATCAAGACAATAGCTTAGAAGCTCTAAATGAAAAGATGTCAGAAGTAGATTCAAACCATTAAAAAGGAAAACAGGGGAGGAAGAGTCTAAACTCAACTCCCGCAAAGCACGCTTGGCTAGAGTGTCTGCCAAGGAGTTACAAGATCTTGGAATGTGATGAAAACTAGCAGATTCAAAAGATGCTACAAAGATTTTAATGTCACTCCAGATAGCATTTAATGGAGAGAAACAGGTTGAAACCGCTGAGTTAATAGCCGATCGGATGTCATTTATCACCTCTAGCGGATCTGCTTCAAAAATCACCTTTATTGGTCCAAACATTGAGGCCTCCATGCAACCCAACCGTAAGGCCATGGCTTCTGCCGTCTTCACCAAAGCACAGAGGCACTTGGATAATCTACCTATCAGAATGCAGCCCTCTGAATCCCTCATTATACAAGCAATACCAGAGTGGCAGCTGCTAGCTGTGAAGCTTGCATCTACATTAACCTTTATCCACCCCGGGGGGGAGGGGACCATCCTCTTTGCCGTTCAATATTTGAAGCTGGGTCTGGAGGAACTGGTCAACTAACAGAGGTCGACCTGAGCTCTGAAATGAAACTCCGACTCTTCACAGCTACCTGACTTGGGGTGGTGATTGTACCATTGAATGAGAAAGAGTCGTGATCCATCCCCTCTATACGAACTGCAAGGTTGCTAGCAAACCAAACAACCTTCGCAAAATGGCATTTGAGTAGTACATGGGCAACCGATTCTTACTCCTCTCCACAGCGGGGGCACAGAACAAAAATCCTCATCCCTTTCTTGGCCAATAGCTGGTGAACTGCAAGAGCATTGGAGATAGCTCGCCACAAAAAAATTTTAATTTTTGGGGGGGATTTAGAATTCCAAACCTTCTTCCATTCTGCAGGTGGCATCTGAGGATACTTATTATTCCTATTAGAGGATTCAGCATGAGATGGCCTTTGAGAGGATAACTTTGCAACATAATATCCACTTTTGACAGAATATTCCCCATCCTTACAAAACTTCCATTTCAATCTGTCATCTGATTCATGTAAGCCAATAGGAATCTTCTTTATAACAACAACTTCCTCCAGCGAGAAGAGATGGCGAAGGGCTGTGATATTCCACCTTTGCGGGTTTAGGAGAATCAAGTCAGAGACTCTATTAACAGTGCAATTAGCAGGCCTCTCAGATATCACTCTACCTTTCAAATAGAGCTTCAATAGCATGGTAGAAGAAATGAGTTGGTTTTCGATAGAAAAATAAATGAGGAAATGACAATCACAGTATTCATCTACAGGATTTTAGCTTGGCATCATCATGTCTAATCATGACACTAAAATCACCGAAACGACACGGTAAATACTTTGCTCAAGATGCTTACTTGTAAACTACGATTCTAATCGATAAAACCGCTCTTCATGCCTAAAATAAGCCAGATCCTAACCCTAGCCCCACTTATCCAGCCGCTTCTAGTTGGAGCTTCGTTGGTTTCATCAAAACCTTCGCCACAAAATCTGAATAAGGTCTTCAGATTTGCGATTTAAGGCCTGCTCATTTGCATTCAATTTTGAAATTTGAATGTCTCTAAAACTGGTGTATTGGAATTGGTGTACTTTTCTTTGTTCTGAAGTTTGAATACAAAGAATGTTGTCCTGAAATTTCAATGTTGAATTATGAAAAGTAACAAATGACCATTTTAACCTTAGATATAAAAATTTTGTTTAACTATTTAACAAATTAATTAACAATTAATTACATGAATATAAATTAATTAATAAAAGTGGAATCAGTGAAATTATTAGAATAATTAAAAACTATTTATTAGGAAATAGTTATTTTAATTTATAATAAAATATAAAAAATATTTATTTTAATTTATAATATTTACTAACTTAGTTATTTTAATAGCTAATTATTAAAATCATTAGGAAATTTTAATTATATTATTCGAACAATTATGTAATTATTATTTCTATGATTAAGTATTCATATATTTTAATAATTATTAATTTGTTTAATTAGTTAAATAATAAATAATGATTGAAATGGCTATTGTAATGATTAAAATAACTATTTCAAATTATAAAATTGTTTTTACATATTAAAATAATTAATTTATTTAATAATCCATTATTAAACTAAATTAAATAAATTTATTATTATTATTAAAAGTCATACTCCACATAGGTCACTCGAAATGAGCACCCTTGTAACTCGTGTGGAAGATGGGTGTGTTGTAGAAAATAGAATACAAATATAAAGAGAGGGACATAACTAGAATTAAATTTATAATACCAATTGATTGATGGGATGTTAGTACAAATTAGTGCATATTCAGAGGTTTGAAGATTTTGAGCAAACTAACACTCTAAAAGCCTCTTAAAGTGCACATTATCTCTTCAGCATTAAGAGATAAGTGGTAACGAATAGACCCTTTAAAGGAATTTGGCTTTGGCCTTAAAAAGGAGATGGGAGGTGCTTCGTGAAGCCACCAGTCACACCATAAAGGATCTTTCGGTGAAGGGTCATATGGGTTTTAAAAAATGTTATACATCATGTGGTGTCATGTGTGTACAAATTTTGATGGAACATTAACATACGCTAATTAACGGTTTGACAATCAACAATAGGAGAAACCTTTTGAAGGAGGAAAAACTTACAATCACGAATCATGTTTTTCTTATGGAGGTGATTAATGAGGGTTTTACCAATAAATTTGAAACTTTCCTCTCGATCTCATATAATAAACTATATTTGTCCTCTTTGTAATTAAGCCCCGGAATCCCTCGAGCATGCCTTCTTCTTATGCCCATCTGTTCAAGCAGTTTGGTTCGGGAGTACAATGTCTCTTAAAACATTGTTTCCTTCTTGTACTTTGCAAGAATGACTGACAACTTGGTGTCATATGGATATGAAATCTAACTCCCATAATGAATTTCTTTTTGACATGGGAGCTAGTTACTGTTCTTTGGTGCATTTGGAAATTAAAGCAAGGTGTAAGGTGGCTTTTGAAGGTAAGGTTTTCTCTCTTACTTCAGTCATTCAGCTTGCACATGCGACTTATAGATCATGTTTGCCACCTTTACAATCCCTTTTTGAGCCCAATATAAACACTAGGACTGCATAATGGCAAAAATTACCCTAGGGTCTACTAAAGGTAAATGTGGATGACGCTCTCCACCAATCATCTAGTGGCTTGGGTATCATAATTAGAGATGACGTTGGAAAGTTTGTTTTGAGAAGAGTACTTCGTTATTCTAGCAATTGAAGCTTCTACTTTTAAAGAGGCCTTACTCCTTCTAATTTGGGTCTGTCTTCTTTTCGGTTAGAGGGTGATGCTCTTTATATTGTTCCATTCCTGTTGGATGGTTCAATCGAAACCCCCTAGCGAATCCGCACCATCATAGCAAATTGCAGGACACTATTACAGAATTTCACCCATGTACAAGCCATTCATACCTACCATCAATCTAATGAGGCAGCAAACATTTTGGCCCAATGTGGGTGTTATTGGTATACTAATTGCCTTACGTGGTACTCTTGTCCAGTTTTTTTAGATATCATTCAAAAGGACCGTGGCTTGTTAGTAGACCTATTCATGAGCTGGGCTTTAGGCCTGATTTTACACTGTGTCGCACTCGGGTTTTAGGCCAGGCCCATTCAAAATTTGGCAAAAGCCAAGCCCGAGCCTGGCCTATGAATAGGTCTACTTGTCAATAAGGACCGTGGCTTGTACTATGCAGTTGATGAATGAAATTGCATTTTGGCTTAAAAAACATTAGAGATGATTTAAGAAAGTAAAATTTTCCGATTAGTACCTTGTACTTTGGGCCTAGTGTCACTTTGGTCCATGAATTTGAAAATGCAACAATTTAGTACCCAAACTTTCAAAACATGATAATGTACCTGTACTGTTAACTAGCTGTTAACCACCCATTAAGTGGCATTTGAAAAAAAACATAAATGTCCTTCAAGTGTTATCTAATTTTCTTTATCAATCATTCAAACATTGACAACAAATTATTAGTTTCAAATCCTTGCCTCTTCTATCTAAGAAAGTTGGGGTCACTAGAATGCCCACTCAAATATGACCCCAACTTTCTTGAAAGGAAAAGGCAAAGATTTGGGATTCTTAATTTTTTGTCAATGTTTAAATGATTGATAAAGAAAATTAAATAATACTCAAAAGGGCATTTATGTCTTTTTCAAATACCAATTAACCATTGATTAAGAATTAATTTACTGCATTATCACGTTTTAAAAGTTTAGATTCTAAATTTTCGCATTTCGCATTTTAAAGTTTGGAGATCAAAATGACACTACGCGCAAAATACAGGGAAATTTTTCCTTTAAGAAATTTAGAATAGAGATAATTTAACAATAATTAAACAATAAAAATACAGTTAGTCAATTAACTGTTTAGGGGTAGCTTTTAACAAATTAGCCCTATTTTAACAATTCATTTTTAAACGGCGATAAGACGTCGAGAACTCGAGATATCTGACACTGTTACTACCCCCGTTATCTTCCCGAACGCTCTATTGACCTTTTGTTATCTGCTAGCTGCCAGAGCTCTCGACTAAAGAATGGCTACTCTGGTAGGATCGCAATGGATAAGAATAAGGGCTTTTCCCGAGGTTTCACCTCCATATTTTCGTCACTCATCTCTTTCTACACTCAGACGATCCCCACTTAGGAGGATTTCCTCTATTTCTGGATCTTCAATTCCTAGTTCTGGCGTCGATACTCCAAAAAGGGCTGAAGGAGAAGTTCGAGTTCGTTTTGCTCCCTCTCCGACTGGAAATCTCCATGTAGGAGGTGCAAGAACAGCTCTATTCAATTACCTGTTTACCAGGTTTGTTTGGGTTGAGCTTTTTATCTATTTATTTATTTTTATATATAGTTTCTTCTTGACGTTTTGTCAGTCGAAATTGATTCTTAAAGCATTCCGCTTTATTGAATATTTTTAATTGCATGTTGTAATCGAAAGTTAACTTATTGATTTCTGCAATATTTTTACCTGCTGTCCTTTGTTTTCTTCTTTCCTTTGCTTGGCAAACTTGGGATGGGGGAAGGTGATGGCGAATGTGGGATTTAATCTGTGGGAACTACATACTCTTTCACCAGATGATCCAGCTGATACCTTCTCCTGTTGTTCTTATCAGGGTCATATACATGTCCCAGAATTATTTGAGCATCATAATTTTTACACTTTTGCATACAAACATGAATATTTTCTCATTGATATGAATCGGAGAAATTGTAACTTTTAGGTCCAAAGGTGGCAAGTTTGTTCTTCGAATAGAGGATACCGACTTGGAGAGATCTACAAAAGAATCTGAGGAAGCGATGCTGCAGGATCTATCCTGGCTTGGTCTTCAATGGAACGAAGGTAACTGTCCTACTAGCAACGGAGCTCCAGCTTTGGAAGATGAAAATAATATTTGTTTTTTCTTTTTTAACTAAGAAAACCTGTATTTAATTTTTTATATTTCCTTAAAAACTTGTTACGCTTTAGGTTCTTGGTTCTGCAATCATTTGATATCGAATCAATGGCTGATAAGAATTACGTATAAGAATGAGTTAACTGGTGTATGAAATCACGATTTTAAATCAGTTTCTGAATAAATAAAATTATACTATTACTCATACAAAAAGAGTTAACTGGTCCAGTAGGGCATACTTGGAGTGATAGTTGTCGTCTTAGTTGTTGGCTTCACGTGTCAAGGTTTTGTCAACTGTAACTATTGAAGTGGATTTTTAAGTGCTTTGAGAATTCCTATGTTCCAAGTATTCCAGATAAGTATTGGCTTAGTTAACAGTGATTGTTTTGCATTCCATCACTGTGGGAAAATAGTTGGCTACTTATATAAATGAGTCTCGTGAATCCCTTTGTTTGTGTAACGAAGCATGAAATATCTCTGTAGCAGCGGAAGATGATACTTGTCTTGTAAATCCACAGGCCCAGATATCGGTGGAGAGTATGGTCCATATCGGCAATCAGAAAGAAATGCTTTGTACAAGCAATATGCTGAAAAGCTTTTGAAGTCTGGTCATGTTTATCGGTGCTTTTGTTCTAATGAGGTAAATCATCTACTAACACTGATTCCTGTCTTCATGTATTTGTTCTTTATTAACATGATGGTGCTTATTTGTTCAATTAATCTTCCTTAGGCATTCTATCCATTGATTCTTTTGTTTGTCAACATGGTATCCTTATATAAGATGCTCGTTGTGATTCTTACCAGGAACTTGAGAAAATGAAGGAGATAGCTAAGTTAAAGCAATTGCCACCAGTGTATACAGGAAGGTGGGCAAAGGCAACAGATGAAGAAGTAGAAGAAGAGCTAGCAATAGGAACACCTTATACATATCGTTTTCGTGTGCCAAAAGAAGGGACTTTGAAAATTAATGATCTTATTCGTGGTGAAGTATGTTCTGTTACTGGTTGATTTTATTGCAACAAGACTGATAATAACATTTTTCATTATGCACTATTTGTGTCTCCTATCCATGTAATGGCATAATGGTGGATTTTATATCATTGTTATAATGTTGCATGCTAGTCTAATACCTTGTGTTCATATTTGCTCCTTACTAAGTAGTTGTACTTGTTGAACATTTTTCACTCTTCATCTTGGCATATTTATCAGATAGCATATCCTTTATTTTGTCTATCCTGTTAACTCTGTTTGATAGTGTGTTGAAGGTTAGCTGGGGCTTAGACACACTTGGCGATTTTGTGATTATGAGAAGCAATGGACAGCCAGTATACAACTTCTGTGTCACAGTTGATGATGCTACCATGGCTATCTCACATGTTATAAGGTAAAGTTGTTGGAGTATGGCACATACCTACTACCATGTTCATCATGTTGTCTTGTTTCTGGATTATGACTTACCGTTTTACATTCTTTGCATTTCAGGGCAGAAGAGCATTTACCCAACACTCTAAGACAAGCATTAATATACAAAGTAGTTGTTCTTAAATTTTCTGCCTTCTTCTCCCTACTACTAGTGGCTTTTTTCCTTTAATGCAGGGAAATTGATTTTAAAGTGTTTTTATCATTTGTACAGGCTCTAGGATTTCCAATGCCCCACTTTGCACATGTTTCTCTAATTCTTGCTCCTGATAGGAGCAAACTGTCAAAACGTCATGGTGCAACTTCAGTGGGTCAGGTAGTTGATGGTTATACTTATGGCCATAATTTAGTTTTAACAACTTATTCACTTCTTAATTGCACTAAGGCTTTTGACCCTCAATAAATATGTATACCATTTTGACAGTTCAGGGAGATGGGTTACTTGCCTCAGGCTATGGTAAACTACCTAGCGCTCCTGGGTTGGGGTGATGGCACTGAAAATGAATTTTTCACGCTTGAACAGCTTGGTTAGTCTTTCATCTTCATTTCCTTCCTAAGACAATTATGCACTGTTATGGTTGTGATTGTGAAATACACTTCCGTTTAAATCATTTCTCAAAACTCATTATTTGTCACATTTTACAGTTGAAAAATTTTCTATTAGTCGTGTCAACAAGAGTGGAGCTGTCTTTGATTCAGCAAAGTTAAGGTGACCATTGCCTTCCAGTTGCTATATTCTGAAGAACTTGCTTATATAAGGAGCCACCAGGCATCCAACACTCTCTATCAAATTATGTTGTTCTAGTTATGTTTATACAGTATGCCATTTAATGACTAGAATGATGTGATGAATACTTTGGTGACTAAAATTGGGATTTTTTTTTAGACAGCAACACCAAGACTAACATGCTTGTCTCTTTTTCCTTAAGATAGGGGTAAGAGAGCAGCAGAAAATGATCTACATGTTCTATTATCACAATAGAATACTTGCACAAAATTAGTGCAATAACATTTTTAAGCTTTTGAAATAATTAGGTTTGTTGCTGATCCAATAAAAAATTAAGTTTGTTCCAAAACCTTGTTATCCATGATGTATCTGAGGCAATGTTTTGAAGTTAAAGTGCTTAAGTGTGAGGTATGAGTTTGCGGCATTTCACTTGCCTACAGCATGAGGAATATGCCTTGCATTTGTGATGTTCTAACTGTATATATTTTGTGTTTTTTGATCAATAACTAAAACTTTATTGATTTCATGAAAAGAACGTGCATTTTTGTGTTTTTATGGACCTTATTTGTGTTTTATAAGACTAACTAGGGATAGTTTTCAAGTCATTGTTGGACTTGAGACTTTAGGAAAAAGAACATGATTTCTTGTTTTTTCTTAATGCCATTTAACGTGTTCATGCATCCCACTACTCTAATTGTGACTGTAACAAGGCTTATACTTCGTATGCTGTTTATCTCTACCTCATTAATGCCTTATATGCTCGTCTTCATAGTATTTAATTACAATTAAAGAAATCAAAGATAAATACTTTTTGTATTTTTATTTTTGTTACCTTGTTTGTGTTGTGCATATGAGCTACCACCCTGGCTTTAATGTATGGATTAGATTTAGAGTGGAATATGTTTTCTTGGTAAATACATAGTAAAATATCATAACAGTGAGAGAAGAGAAGAAGAGTTTTGGAGTCAAAAACTGAAGTTGGCGGTGCCAACCTTTTGGTATTTATATTAGGGTGATCCACTCTAATAATAAAAGAGGAGAAGATTACATATGTGCCCCTATGACACTAAAATAAAGAAAAACTAACATATTCAACACTCCCCCTCAAGCCGGGACATAGATATCAATCATGCCCAATTTGTCACACAAGTCATTGTCGCAAGTGATGTAAGCCCTTTGTAATATTGTCTGCAAGTTGCTCCTTATAACTAACATATAGAGTATACACCCCCATTAACAATTTTCTCTCTGATAAAGTGTTTGTCAACTTCAATATGTTAAGTTCTATCACAAAGAACTGGGTTGGCTACAATGTTGATGACAATCTTGTTATCACAATACAAGGACATGGGGCTATCAACCAGAAAACCCAGTTCACTCAAGAAATTCTTTTATCCAACTAGCTTTAGCCACTCCATGGGACATTGCTCTATACTCAGCTTCAACAGCAGACCTAGCCACAATACTTTGTTTCTTGCTTCTCCATGTGACTAGGTTTCCGGCCCACAAAAGAACAATACCCACTAGAGGACTTTTTGTCATCAACTGATCCGGCCCAGTTAGCATTTGTATATACTTCAACCTTTAAAAATGCCCATTCTTCTGGAATAGTAAACTAGCTCTTGGAAACTTCTTTAGATACATGAGGATTCTCTTAGTTGCCTCTAAGTGTGTGGTCTTAGGAGCATGCATGAACTGACTAAGAACACCCATAACATAAGCAATGTCTATCCGAGTCATGGACAAATACAAGAGCCTTTCCACAAGTCTCTGGAATTTCTTTACATGATAATCTCAGTATCTCACCACAACAGTCACCCAGTCTGTGATTTGGATCAATGGGAGAGTCAGCTGGCTTAACCCCTAGTTTTCCTGAATCCTATAACAGATCTAGGATGTATTTCCTTTGAGAAGTGAAGATCCCCTTTTGTGAGCAGGCCACTTCAATTTCAAGGAAATACCATAAGAGACCTAGATCCTTCACCTCAAATTGAGTGGCTAAGAGGTCCTTTAGCCTCTAAATTTCAACTTTCTAGTCACCTGTGATTACTATGTCATCAACATACATTTACCAAGGTTGCAATCTTTCCTTCCCCTTTTCTTCAAAAATAATGTATGGTCAGTCTGACACTATTTGTAGCCAATCTATTGCATAGCTAGATAAAACTTGTTGAACCAAGCTCTTGGTGATTGTTTTAGACCATACAAGGACTTTTTTAACCTGCACACTTTCTGTTCTTTGCCTTGGGCACTAAAGCCAAGGGGTTGTACCATGTACACTTCTTCTTCAAGGTCACCATTCAGGAAGGCGTTTTTAATATCTAGTTGATGAAGATCTCAATCAAGATTTGCAATAAGAGAGAAAAGAACTTTGATGGGTTTCATCTTAGCTACTGGAGCAAAAGTCTCTGCATAATCTACTTCATACACTTGAATAAACCCTTTTGCCACCAACCTGGCTTTGTACCTTTCTACCGTGCCATCAGCCTTGTGCTTCACTTTGAACACCCACTTACACTCTATTGGTTCCTTACCCTTAGGAAGATCCACTAACTCCCATGTACCATTTTTATGTAAGACATTTATCTCTTCTTTCATTGCATTTGTCCATTTAGGTATTAAGAGAGCTTCTGCCACATTTTTAGGGATAGGGACATTGTCAATGGAAGAAAGGAAAACACGAAAAGAGGATGAGATGTTCTCATAGGAAACAAAATGTGAAATAGGATGCTTAGTGGTACAAGACCTAACTCCCTTTTTGCAATAGGGATGTCTAGATCATTAGCAGATGAAGTATTGATAGCAAGAGGATCGGGAACATCAATAGGAACAAGAGTACCTAGTTGGATAGGATCTGTTCCTGGTGAATCTGATGATGTTGGTGGTACAACTTCAACGGCGACGAAGAAAATACATGGAAAGGAGGAGGGTCACAGGCAGAGGAGGAAGAACCTGAACTCGTTTCTCCTCCACCTTACTCTCCCCCTAGGAGAAACATCGAAAAATGGATCACTCTCAAAGAAAGACATTGGATACATGGTATTTTTTGGAAACGGGGTCAAAACACCGGTAACCCTTTTGAGAAGAAGGGTAACCCAAGAATACATAGGGAATAGTATGGGGATCAAGTTTACCACGAGTAGGAAACAAGTCTTGAACAAAACAACGACAACCAAACACACAGATAGGAATGGAGAAGAGGGGAACTTTGGGAAATAGGAGCTGATGAAGGGCCTTGTACCCCAACAAGCAAAATGGCATACGGTAGGCAGCACATAACCCAACATCCAACCAAAAACGTTTAGGAACATTCATGTGTATGAGTAATCTACAAGCAACTTTAAGGAGGTGGCGGTTTTTTCTTTTGGCAACACCATTTTATTGGGGGTTTCTAGCACAAGAGTTATGATGGATGGATCCACATGAATTAAAAAACTTCGTGAGATCTTTATGAAAGTACTCTTTGACATTGTCCGATTGGAAAATTTGGATCTCCGTTTGAAGTTGAGTAAATATCAAGCGTTGGAAATCTTTAATAATTTTGAGTACTTCATCTCTGGACCGCATGGGATACACCCATGTATATTTGGAGTAGTCATCAATAAGTGTAATGAAATATTTATAGCCAGTCTCAGATGGTAAAGTAATAGGGCCCCAAACATTAGAATAAACAATACGGAAAGGAAAATCAGATTTATTATTCCTTAAAGCAAAATGATTTCTACAATGTTTGCTCAACTGACAAGTTTGACATGTGAGTTCAGACACTGACATTGACTTAAATAAATATGGAAACAAAACTTTTAACGATTCAAAAGATAAATGACCTAAGCGACTATGCCATAAATAGACTTGAGTCACTTGACTCATACTAAACAAACTCTTAGACTCAATAATTGTAGGACTAGCTTTGTTCTTTAGCATGTAGAAACCATCCGCTATACGACCTCTACCAATCATCTTCCTCGAGGCCAAATCCTATATCACACAAGAAGGGAAAAATGTTACTGTACAGTTTAAAGAATTTGTTATACTACTAACAAAGAACAAATTTATAGGTAGTTTTGGAACATGTAGAACATTAGAAAGGGCGAGTCCAAGAGGAAGGGAGATGGTTCTTTGACTAGCTATGGTGGAGAAAGAACCATCAGCTAGTCTCACTTAGTCCCTACCAGATACAAGATGATAAGATTGAAAACAATTTGACTTACCAATCGTATGGTTCGAGGCTCTAGAATTTGTTATCCAATGGGAGTTTGAGGGATGAGAGGACACATGGAAAGCTGTGGTAGAATTACCATTATCTGATGTAGACGCAAAGGAAGTCGAGGGAGAAGTAGAATTCATCTGGCGGATTGCCCTCCCATACAGCTCCAAATGGTCAGGGAAAGAATTAATGATATCTTCCTTGGGATCAGTCACGGAAGGACTGAAGGTAGTGGTAGATAATTGAGACTCCTTAGAGGCCAAGTTTGCTACATTAAATTTCTTTTGACCTTGCTGTCCTGACTTCTTATTTTGGTATGATTTTTTACTCAGATCATGGGCCCACTTTGACTTCCCATGAAGTTTCCAACATGTATCTCGAGTGTGTCTAGACTTTTGACAATGAGTGCACCATAGTTTATCCTTGTCATCAACGTTCTTTTGGAAGTCGCTCTTCTTAAAGGAATTACCACCTCTTGTAACTATACTCCCTTTAGCTACTAATGCAATATGCTCTCCCTCAGAATTATTCATCAAATTTCGTCTACTCTCTTTTGATTGTACTAGGGCATACACTTTTTGCATTGATGGGAGATCTTCACTCCCCAATATCTGAACCCTGATAGACTCATATGTAGAATTCAGCCCCAAGAGGAAGGCAAAAACCTGTTGCTGGGAAACCAGAGACTTATAGGCTTTAGCATCTGTATCACATTTCTAGTATATATTCTGATAATGATCTAGTTCTTTCCAAATAGAGGTCAAATTTGAATAGT